CTTGTAAATATGATTTGTATTAATCTTTGAAGTCTCATTGTAAATATGTTGAACCCTGTATCTCCTTGTATATATTTTATTCTTTTAAGACCTTTCTTGTTATTTTCCTTCTTAACCTAATTACCCTAGGAACGCTGTTGATGGGTATATTAGGATTAGAAGTCAGCCGCACCATGTATCACACGCAGCTCATATACTATGAATACTAATAAGATAAACTGAGAGCTTCGATTCTCCGTGGAGTAGTCTCGTTCACGCTGAACGGGGAAACCACGTAAATTGTTGTGTTGTGCTTCCGCGTTTAGTAGTTTTTACATGGTATTAGAGCCTGGTTTGACCAAGTGGTCGTGTGTTCGAATCTCCACGACCCCCAGTATTAACAGTTGATTAAAGCACAAGGTATGATGACCCTGTGCAAACTTCAAGCCCATGGGTTGGCTTTCGTTTGAGGGGGGTGTGCTAGAGAGTGGTATAAGATCCAACATAACCTTCTCCCAACAACTCGATTTATTGGGACCAATTGGTTTATGACAACATATGATTTGTATTATGGTGAGCATCATACTTCTTGCTGAGAAAATTCCTTTATTTCTCTCGCTTGAGTATGTATAGCCTCCATCTCCCTAATATCTCTTTTTTCAGCATCCGAAAGATAATTCCTTCAGCAAAAATCTCCAATTTGTGATTGTGAAACCTCCTTGATTCACTAGGATTATCTTCATCCATAATACCACAAATTCTCCAATTCCTCTTGCCATATATCAATGTGGCTCTACACTAGTACTCGGAAATGACAATCTAACTTGCCTAACTAAAATTCTTTCGTCTTGTTAACGCGGGATCCAGGGTATATGATTTGCCCCTATAAACATGGTTGCCATCCAAATATATCCACAAATATTTTATCTAGGGTTTTGCTTGAATGAACCCACGATCCAGAAAAACCTATTTAGCTGGACAATCTTCTAGGGGTGGCTATACGGTCCGGTCCGGTTAAATTGGACCAAATTGATCTGGTCCCAGTCCGGTCTTTTCGGGAATATAAGGACCAAAGATTGGATTGGATACACTCCAGTATTTATCCGGTCCGGTCTTGACCTGGTCCGATCCCAATTTGATTTTGATTTTAGATTGAGCTTGTGGGGATTTGAGTGTTGGGGTCTCTTATCCGGTCTTTATCCGGGTTTTTTTTACCTCAAATCTAAGCCCGAATATGAGATTGGATTGTTTGCTATCCGGTCCCAGTCCGGTCCCGGTCCGGTTCGGGTAAAACCAAACAGTCCTGGACCAAATTGCCAGCCCTACAATCTTCTATGCCGCTTTACAAGCTTCGTCATGGGTATCATAAGGAATATGACTTGTGAACAATGATGTGTAATCTACATTGTCACTCTTATCATCTCCATAACCTCCCTACAAAGAGTATGAGGTAAAAAATTACTAATCTCTCATTGATCAAACATGTTCATTTTAGTCGCACAATAATTATATTTTAATAATTAAACTTATCAAACAATAATATGAATTGAGTTACCGAATCACCCTGAATAACCTCGTTTTTAATTAATGGTGGTGGAAAATGAGTATGCAACTTTACAACTTTGCCCTCCCACCTAAAAAGCAGAAGAAAACATCGAACAAGGACATGGTTTAGTCGGGGGAGGGGGTATGCATCTTTGGGACATGCTGCATTGAGGCTAGTGAAGTCGATGCACATCCTCCAGGCGCCTCCCGCCTTGTGCACAAAGACCGGGTTTGATAGCCAAGTAGGGTATTTTACCTCCCTAATGAACCCAGCTTTGAGCAGCCTTCGTACCTCCTCCTCGAGGGCTACTTGCTTTTCGACCGATAAATGCCTTCTTCATTGTTGTATAGGCCGCACCTTTGCTTTGATGGAGAGGTGGTGTTCGGAGACTTTGCGAGGGACGCCGGGCATGTCCTCCGGGCCCCACGCGAAGAGGTCTTGGTACTCTCTGAGGAGCGTGAGCAGCTTTCGGGCTTCTTCTGCGGCCAAGTGGGGCGAAACGCGAACTGTCTTCTCTGGCTGTTCTTCATTCAAGGCGATCGCTATGTCTCCCTCAACGGCCTCAGGTCGTGGGATGTCACCCCTTGTATCTACGAGGTCTACTTCGAGGAGTTCGATGGTTGCTTGGTAGCATTCTTGTGCTTCCTTTGCGTTGCCTCGAACGCGTCCCGTCTTTCCTCCGCTAGGGAACTTCAGCATTTGGTGACAAGCAGAGGTGACCGCCTCGAAGGAGGCTAGGAAACCGCGCCCCAGAATGGCGTTATACGCTGAAGGACAGTCTGCTACATGAAACTCTACCAACTTGGTTTTGGTGATCCCGCCCTCTCCTATGGTGAATTTGAGGGTGATGGACCCGAGGACGCTGACCTTCGTCCCCGAGAACCCTACCAAACTGGTGTTGGACGGGTTGAAATCTTGGACTCTTTTCTTCATGCCCCTGATTACCGAGTAGAAGAGAATATCTGCGGAGCTCCCATTGTCAACAAGCGCCCGAGTGATCTTGAATTTATCGGTCCTGAAGGAGATGACTAAGGGGTCTTCCGAGTTCTCCTCTTTAGCCAATTCTGATGTTTGGAAAGTGACTTCAGTGGGCGCTCTGCATTGGACGCTGAGGCAATGGCTTTGGCGTTCTGCCTCGGATCTGGGACGCTTTCTGCCCCCCGCTATCGTGATGACCTCCATTCCATCGTCATCTCCACGAGGGGGTCGGTAGGCAGGAGACTATCTTTGAGGTGAGATGGCCTTGTTCCTTGTGGGTGACCTTGACCTTTCTTTGCGAGACCGCCTCGTCTTGTCCCTTTCGGGGCTGTGAGAGTCCTCTCGCATTTCGGGGGAATGATCGCGATGAGGGCGCCGTGTTTCAAGGCGGTTGCGCAGGTCTCACGGAGCTAAGTATTTCAGGTTCGCTTTGAACTCTCTACACTCCGTGGTGTCGTAAGTAGCCATCTGGTGCCAGTCGCACCACTTCTTCCCTTCTTGCGGTTCTAGACCAGAGGATACCTCGGGTTTTCTCCCACCTCTTCGTCTCTCTCTCTTCCTCTTTCTCGATCGGTGGAGTACACCTCTCTTTTTCTGTCGCGTTCTGTATACCGGTTGCGGTACGCCTTTCGCTCAGGGGAGAGCCTGCCACGGCGAGCGTCTGCCCGCTCTTGATGGTCGTTTCGGGGGCGTCCTTGGTGGCTTCTGTCATCGGTAGCCAGTGCTTCTTCGAGCAAGATGGCACGTCGCACCAATTGATCCAAGTCTGACTATGACGTTAGCATGGTCTCTTTTTTATCAAGGCTCTTTTAAGCTCGACGCTGGTTGTGGATATCCTGAGATTGCCAGTGGCTACGACCGAGGAGAAGCCATCTATTTCGCAAGCGATTGCATTCCACCGGTCGTAGAATTCTGCTAGCGACTCTTCCTTCTTCTGTCTACAATTTATGAGTGCCGAAACGGTGAGTTTGCGACGTCGCTGTGATGCGAACTTCGTGGAGAAAAGCATCGCAAATTGTTCGAAGTTCTCTATCACCCCTTCCGGGAGGGAGGTGTACCACGTCCGGCACTGACCGCTGAAGGTAACGGGGAACGCTCGGCACAAGTCGGAGTCCGAGGCGTTGATGAGTTGCATCTTTAACATGAAGGCGCAAAGGTGGTCCGCGGGATCTGAAGTCCCGTTGTACGTAGGTAGTCCAAGGGAGGAGAAGTTTGGTGGTACTAGGGTCTTGAACAGCTCCTTGGAGAGTGGGTTTTGAAGAACATTTGGGCTCTTGTGTTTCCCGTAGGTCGACCGCAAATGCTCTTCGAGAAAGCCAAGGTCTGCATCTTCTGCTTCTAACCGAGCAGGGCTATCGAGGAACACGGCGGTCTTCTGCTTCTCCTCTCGTGTCCTCCCCCTCGATCCCTCGGGAGGGTCTTCCTTTGTCTTCAATAGTTGGAGGATTTGCGACAGACTATCTTGCATGCTCGCAATCTGCAAGCCTTGACTTTTGACCACCTCCTCGAGCTTGGATTCATCTTCAGCTCTCGGCGATAGACCTCGGAGGGTGTTGTTCTCGGTCATTCCTTTGAGAGGAGTTTTGAAGTCGTCTCCCATCCTTTCCTGGCTACGAAGTCGTGTGCCCCACGGTGGGCGCCAAAATGTTTAGGCCTGGAGCGTACCAGGCGGTTTTGTGAAGCAACACTGCCTTCGTGCGGTCCTGGTGGTGAGAGGCGTCCCTCGAAGTCCTGCAAGAAAGGTTCACAGGGGGATCCCTGGGACCTCCTCCGATGCCTAAGTTAGAGAGAGAAGTGGATGTGGAGTAAATAAGAGAGAGAATCGAGTAGATAGAAGTTACCATAAACGTGGCCACTTAGTGGGTATTTATACTAGTCTTGGCTCGGCTGTGCGCATTTAATGCATGTCGGGCGGTCTAGGACGCCTCTGGCGTTGTTAACGTCTCCATGTCAGGTTCCGTACCGCGAAGCCAGAGTGTCGGGCGGTCTCTTGACACTGCCCTTCCCAAATGTCGGGTGGTCTCGCCGTGTAGCCTATAGAGACCACTTTTGCCCATTGTTCATGACTTGGGCCTTACTCGCTCTTTCATGGGCCTTCGATGCTCTTTTGGGCTCACGGGGCTGCGTGTCTTCCTAATAGGCCCAACAGAAACCATTATTTGTCTATAGGAGAGGAGGGATAAGGGGAGACTAACCCCTTTGTGCCCTGGTCAGATTGAGTTTCCAACCCGTTCGGTCCAATTTTCAATAAGTTTTTTTAGGAATTACAATCTGCCCAAACAGATGGCTACCGAGATTGACTAAGGTTGTGGGCTTCGACAATCTCATCATAATTCAACGAAGACTCATTATTGAAGAAAGTGTTGTTGGTTTTTGTGTTTTTTGGTGTTGTAATTTGGAATTTTGGGTTGATATTTGGATTTTTTTTTGGAGAGAGAGTTTCAAATGTGTTGAATATTAAGTTTTATAAATTTAGAAAAATAAAATTAAGAAAAAGACAAGAAAGTAAATTTGTTAGAATTTAAAATTAAGAAAAGACAAGAAAGTAAATTTGTTAGAATTTAGAGCAACGAATACTAATTTTAGGGCCGAATTGGGCCTGATTTTCCGCAATGAGGCCTAGCTCATTATTATCATCTCAATCTCTCTTCTGCATTGGAGCTAGAAAGTAATTCGGCCCGGCCCGGCCCATTGGATGTTAAACCCGAACCCGTGTCCACCTCCGCCTTGCCTAATTGCAGACTTGACAGTGCCTTCCAGAATTCTCTGGTGCTTGCTTGATTACTTCCATATCTCACCGTCTCCCTTCGAACTCTCTCCATTACTCTCGATTTGCCTACCTCCTTCTTCCACCAAAGCTCTCAACTTTCCCATCTCCCGCCTTATATAACGCTGCACCAATGGCCGCCCAGCAATCTCAATTCAAAACAGAAACCAACGCATTACTCAAACCTCAAAACCGAGAAAAATTCCCAAATCCCAAGTTCACAGATCATCCCTTCCAAGTCAATCCGACCTACCAATCTTCTTACAATCTGCAATGGCGCCCAAAACCGAAGGCAAGGCTATCGGCATTGACCTTGGCACCACCTACAGCTGTGTTGGAGTGTGGCAGAACGACAGGGTGGAGATCATCGCCAACGATCAGGGCAACCGCACCACTCCTTCGTATGTTGCGTTCACCGATACAGAGCGTCTCATCGGCGATGCGGCCAAGAACCAGGTCGCGATGAACCCTCACAACACTGTCTTCGACGCCAAGCGTCTCATCGGCCGGAAATTCTCCGACCCCTCCGTACAAGCAGACATGAAGCACTGGCCGTTCAAGGTCGTTCCCAGCGACGGAGGAAACCCGATGATCGTGGTCCAGTACAAAGGCGAGGAGAAGCAATTCGCTCCGGAAGAGATCTCCTCCATGGTGTTGGTCAAGATGAGGGAGATTGCGGAGGCCTTTTTAGGTCAAAACATTAAGAACGCTGTGGTCACCGTTCCGGCTTACTTCAACGACTCGCAGAGGCAGGCGACGAAGGATGCAGGTTCAATTGCCGGCCTCAACGTTCTCCGAATCATCAACGAGCCGACCGCCGCCGCAATTGCTTACGGGCTGGACAAGAAAGGGTCGAGGAGCGGCGAGAAGAATGTTCTCATCTTCGATCTCGGCGGAGGAACGTTTGATGTCTCTCTGCTGACGATTGAGGAAGGGATCTTCGAAGTGAAGGCCACCGCCGGAGATACACATCTGGGAGGTGAGGATTTCGACAATCGGCTGGTGAATCACTTCGTGGCGGAGTTCAAGCGGAAGAACAAGAAGGATATCAGCAGCAACGCCAGAGCTTTGAGGCGGCTGAGAACCGCGTGCGAGAGAGCGAAGAGGACTCTGTCTTCCACCTCTCAGACCACCATCGAAATCGATTCCCTCTACGAAGGTATCGACTTCTATTCCACCATCACTAGAGCTAGGTTTGAAGAATTGAACATGGATTTGTTTAGGAGGTGTATGGAGCCTGTGGAGAAATGTCTCCGCGATGCCAAAATCGACAAGGCACAGGTAAACGATGTTGTTCTGGTGGGAGGGTCGACGAGGATTCCCAAAGTCCAGCAGCTGCTTCAGGATTTCTTCAACGGGAAGGAGCTCTGCAAGAGTATTAACCCTGACGAGGCGGTAGCTTACGGAGCAGCTGTTCAGGCGGCGATTCTGACTGGGGAAGGAGACGAGAAGGTTCAGGATTTGCTTCTCTTGGATGTCACCCCTCTCAGCTTGGGGCTTGAGACCGCAGGCGGTGTGATGACGGTGTTGATTCCGAGGAACACAACGATTCCGACGAAGAAGGAGCAAGTTTTCTCGACTTACTCTGATAATCAGCCTGGAGTTTTGATTCAGGTGTACGAAGGGGAAAGGGCGAGAACTAAGGATAACAATCTGCTTGGGACATTCGAGCTGAAGGGTATCCCACCGGCTCCAAGAGGAGTCCCGCAGATCAATGTCTGCTTCGATATGGACGCCAATGGCATCCTGAACGTGTCAGCGGAAGACAAGACGGCTGGGGTGAAGAACAAGATCACGATCACAAACGACAAGGGGAGATTGAGCAAGGATGAGATCGAGCGGATGGTGCAGGAGGCGGAGAAGTACAAGGCCGAGGATGAGGAAGTGAAGAAGAAAGTTGAGGCTAAGAATGGTCTTGAGAATTATGCCTATAACATGAGAAACACAGTGAAGGATGAGAAGTTTGCAGGGAAGCTGGATCCAGCAGACAAGCAGAAGATTGAGAAGGCGATAGACGACGCGATTCAGTGGCTTGAAGGCAACCAGTTGGCTGAGGTGGAAGAGCTGGAGGACAAGCTGAAGGAGTTGGAAGGACTCTGCAATCCCATAATCTCCAAGATGTATGGAGCTGGTGGCGATGTGCCGATGGGCGGTGGAATGGGGGGTGGTTCTGCCGGCTCTGGTGCTGCAGGTGCTGCTGGTCCCAAGATTGAGGAGGTTGACTAAATTGATGAGAGTAATTGATTGGATGCCATTGTGATGTTGTCTTCAGCTAAGTTTTCTGTGGGATGGTTGAATTTAAAAGGAGTGGTTTATTAGGATTTGTATGAATGTCTTTATCTTAAGGATCTGTAAGACCTATTCTATGCAATAAAATTGGTGGGTTTCTTTCAGTTTTTTATCTGCTACATAAACTTGTCTTGTTACAGCTCTGATGCATAGTAGCATGGCTGATGTCTAAACGCTGAACGCCTCATTTGGGTATAAAGCAAATATTCTCAATGGGAAAAGTGAGCTTCTGGGGAGGAATCAAATTCCTCCACCTTCTTTCACTCATCAGCATTTTCATGTGTTGTCTATGTATCTATCGTGGCTCTGTTTTGGACCAACTAATTGGAATTTGGATCCCTCAATGCTTAAACCATTACCTTAATAGCATTACCTTAATGGGGAATCCAGAATGAGAAATTTTATAGTATTGGTACTATAGGGTTTTTGTCTTTATGGTACAACTTAAAATTGTACATTTACGTTATGGTACAACTTCAGATTGTACCTATATTTTTTGTAAAAATTCTTTTATGGTACAACTTGAACTTGTACCTTTACGTGATGGTACAACTTCAAGTTGTAAAGTTGTACCATAACATAATGATACAAATTGTTTTATGGTACAACCTAAACTTATACATTTAATGTTATGGTACAACTTTGAGTTGTACATTAAAGCACCAATGCTATATAGCATAGTAGAAGTGCTCACCCAGAATACCCACTCTGTTTCATCAAGTTCCCAGATTCCAGATTCGATTCTCTGAGGTGTTCAATGAAATCAAACACGAAGGAAAAGGTGTTGTCCTAAAGGAATCGAACAAGCTCTAAATTAAAGGAATACCAATGCGACCCCAGATAAGAGCAAGCATCAGATGAATGGTCCCTACTCCCTAGTTAATAGCCACACTCTCAAAGCTGTGTTCTTTATATGAACTCTTCACCTGAATGAATGGACCTCTGAACCAAAAGAAGCAAGCCTGGCAGCTTTCCTTTTCCATCTCCTAGCTAGCTACCTCATCTCGACACATTCATCAAACGGCAAATTCCAACACAGATTTTTCTCCCAGGGAAGCTCAAGAGGAATGAAGAAGAGTGCTGTTTTCGTAGCTGCTTGGTTGCTGTTACTGTTTTGTTCGGTATCATTAGTTACAGCAGCCGATCTCAACTTGTCAAATCCATCTCCGCAGTTCCCAGGAGGACAAAATCATGGTAAGAAAAAAAAAAAAAGGTTACCCTTTTTTCCATTCTCAACAGTTGCTGTTAGAATTCATTACATAGATCAGCAGGATTATGATTTTAACAAGCAGTTTACCCAGATCTGAGTGGCAGGGAATCAAAACGGGAGCAATATTGGGGAGTGGTGGGTTCATCAAGTAAAGCATCAGGAACAGGGGGGCTAAAGGGAGGGAATGGAGGTGCTTCCGACATTGCTCACAGAGCTCCCCCTGCACCTCACAAAAACTACTCCACTCGTTTATCATCATCCCACTTCTACACCCTCTCCCTCTTCTCTCTTGCACTCACTCTCTACCTTCCACTTTGATTTCTTCGTATGGTGCCGATTCCTGCAGCCAGTTGTGACCTTTGGCATGTGCTGATTCTGTAAGGTCTCCATCCAACTCGTTTGTTTGTGCTCAATCCGGCCTGTCGACATTTTGCTTTACTTGGGGTGAAAGTTGCGTGTTATTTTTGGGCCCTCCTCTATTCTGCTCTTGTTACTGTCTAGTTCTCTCTGAGTGAGCAAAGTTTGGTCATGGCTTCGAACTTGGAAAACAAGCAAATTCAGTTGGGTTGTCTACACTCTTCTTCAAACGCTGAAGTCAGATGTGAGAAACTCATCAGATAGAGATAAGATTGTAGCCATGTTGTGTGTGTACGCATGTGTAATACCGCCTTTCAAGTAGACTGGCGGCAAGACTTGTAGTAGTTGTATAAATTCGAGGTGTCGAACACCTAGTACCAGATGATCTGTTACTCTGATTAACTCTATGTAGCACGATTTGAGAATGTGCAATTCTGCAAACGTCTAGTCCAGTACTTTGCAAATGATGAACAACAACAGAGAGTAACAGAGCACAACAGAAAAGAGGAGGGGCCATCAGCCCATCACAATTGCAAGCAAGCAGGCACTACGATCGACCTGACAATCTTAGAAACAAGTTGGGGCCAACTGGGATGGATGATAATCCGAATGCTCTTTCTATCCAACCACTACCTACTCCACACATTTTCTGAAACTATATCGTGTTTTCGCCCCCTTTATGAATGGAGCCACTTTCATCATAATCTTGTAAAGCAGAGTGGTTGAGTCATCAATCAGAAACCACGTAATCGCCTGAATTGGCGGTAAGCCATACATTCTTTGGTTGGATAGCAAAAGCCACATATCTCCTGTTCATATAATTGCACAAATCAAGCAGGACAGGAAACCAAGCATCCAAAACAGAGCAGTACTGTAACTTTTTTTCTCTTCTGCATTTTCATTTCTAATCAACAGTTGCACGAAAATAGTCTGCAGGAATTCGATGAACAGAGCAGCTTTATCATGAACAAAAAGGAAAATAACAATAAAAAAACGATTCCACCATCATCATATGTGCCTTTGAGACAATTTTTTACTAGTTGAATGAAATTAAATCTCATAGATGAGGCTATTGAACAACTTCATGTGCTCCTCCTGCAGCGAGATCGCCACCGACATGCTCCCGTCGCCGGTCGGGCTGGGCAGGATGAACGACAGCCCTTCGAACGGGATCCCGCCCGGGCCCATGAAGATGGGCCGGCCCCACCCGAAGTCGGCGTCGTGGATCGGCAGCCGAGCCCAGCTCGTGATCCCGAGGTTCGGGCACTTGAAAGTGTGGGCCCCGCGGACCAGCGCCGTCAGATCCGGCTGCACCTCCAGGTAATCCAGCGCCGACCGCAGGTACTCGTCGTCCATCCGGCCCAACGCGTCGTGGATCCGGCCCGCGGCGAACCAGGTGGGCTTGTTGCCCAGATCCCCCGCCGACGCGATTGGGGTGGTCGTGAAGATCACGTTGCCGAAGTAGCCCGCGGGTAGCGGCGGGCGGAGGCGGGACCTCCCGTCGGTGGCGATGTACAGTTTGGTGTCCTGGTCGTCGGCGAGGCCGCGGGCTCTGCAGGCGGAACGCCAGACGTGACCGGCGAGCATCTCGTAGGTGCTGTAGCTGATTGTGTTCCCGGCTTCCTTGGCCTTCGCTTTCAGGGCGTTGAGCTGGTCCCTTGTAAGCTTAAAGATCGAGACGGCGGCGGGGGCAGGTTCGGCGGTCGGTTTGGAAGCGGCGTCGCCGGTGACGGCGGCGGCGGCGGTGGAGAGGGTTTTCATCGCCGGTGGAGGGAGGTACTCGATGTGCTCGAATGCCGGGCGGGGCGGGTCGCGGGCTCGGAGGAGGGTCCGGTCGATGAACGGCGGCAGTGTGATGTCGAGCCCTCGTGACATGTCGGACCACGTGTTGACGAAGTGTAGGCCGGAGAAGCCGTCGGCGGCGTGGTGCTGCATCCCGACGCCGAGCGAGACTCCGCCACATTTGAAATATGTCACCTGAAAATGTGACGCGGTAGAAACAGTAATTTAGTCTCACTTTCATCAACATTCAGGCAGAGTATGTAATTCTGTTACGGCAAACAATTACCATTCATGTCACCCGATTAATTAAAACTAATGCACGAATATGTAATTATTTTTGCGTCCAAGAAACATTAACCCAATTAAGAAAAAACTCCTTGCTTTACGCAATTTTTCATTCATACACGCAAATTAAAGGTACTTGTCATCCTAAACAAGGGAAGGGGTTATTATCGTCATACCTGGAGAACCAAGAGAGGATAGGTGGAGAGCCCGCCGGAGTAATCCACAGCCGGGATAAGCTGCCGGAGCTCCAACGTGGGCGCAAAGTCGCCGAAATCATCGATCACCGAGGTGGTATCGGCGACGACGAAGAGAACGCCTTCGGCGTTGCAGTTGATCTCAATCCGACCATCCTCGTCCCTCCTCAGCCGCCCGGCCATGGGGTAAAACGGGACGAGGGCCTTAGCCAGGCCCTTTTTCATGACGGCCGGGTCGAAGAAGTCGGCGGCGCCGGTGGGGCGGTAGAAGTAGACGCTCGGGGTGTGGAACCGCGGCACGACCAGGTCAACGTTGGCGTTCCACAGACCCACATTCGGAGTCTCCTCCGCCGGCTGGACCAAACTCGATTCCTTCACGTTGACGATCATTCTCGATTTTTTTTTTTTCCGCTTTCACAGTTCGGATTTGCTTTCTTGGTAAAGGTTGCTGGCCTGCTCCAAGTATATAATGCAATTAGCTTTGTATTAATTAAGTGGTCAAGGTAGACAAAACGTGATAAAATAATCATTAATGAAAATGAATTGGACTGGCCCAGTTGACTGTATTTATATTTGTAAGATCCCCGCCGGCCTGCCCGCAGCGTCATAAAATAAAAATGAATTAAAGATCGGATCGGATATTAAAACAACAAAACCGTTTTAAATCAATTGTTCGATTCGGTCTTGAAAAGATCATATGGGTTGGGGACAGACTGGAGGCGCAATGTGCAGTCACGTTAACCCTTGGACCGATTTTGTTTTGTTCTTTGTTAGTGATAATGTTTTTTCACGAGACGAAAATTCTGAAATATGGAAAAAGAATAACACAAGGGTAAACCTAAGATCAATTCACGCGTATCGTTGAACAGAAGAAGAAAATGATATTAACAATGAGATTAGAGTTTTGTTGATTGATGATAAGGTGGGTTGACGATTAATTGGTCCTACTTACAGAACAAAAAAGAGGCAGCAGCAGAGTTACGTTGTTGGCCAAGTGTAATATTTTTTTCCTGCCTGCAGTGCAGTGCCAACCTTTGTATTTTGATTTATCTTTTGTTTTTGTTTCTTCCCCAGGAGACGGTTCATATCATGTAGTCTTCTGTTAATTTATATTTATAGAGAGGAAGGCATCCAAGTCGCAACTCCCGAGCTAATTCCCATCTAATTTTCTTTACTGTTGGACCAAATTCCTACCTAAGAACAAACAGTCAAAAAAACTCAAGGAGAATAATAAATAGACGGCAGTAATATAATTCCCTTTTTTTTAATTTAGGTTAGAATATTATTTCAGGTTGAATTTTCCACTTTACAGATTCATATATATATATATATATGGTGCCTTCTATTGTACCCCGAGTGAAATCCGGGGTACCGCATACCTTGAGTATGAAAACGGTATCTAGACCTCGAATTAGCAGGATTTTTGGGTCTGATACTATACCCTAACCCTTAATGAGTGAACCCTAGGTCCTAATTATCTAAATTATAATCTATAAACCCTAAGATGGTACATTCTTTTTTGTGCCTATATTTGGACGAATCATAACCGTCGATTATTATTTCTAATAAAATTTATCTTGGAGTATAAGATTGGGAGAATTAAGACCTAGATTTTGATCTTTAAGAGCTAGAGTATCGTATCATGTCCGAAAGATCGGTCAATTCAAGGTCTAGATAGTGTTTTCATACTCAAGGTATGTGGTACCCCGGATTTTACCCAGGGTACCGTAGAACTCGTCATATATATATATATATGTGGCAGTAATATTTGCTTTTTTTTCTTATTAGGGTAGTATATTAATTTCCAGTTTGAAATTTCAACTCTAGAGATTTGTTTAATTAGGAATAATAAAGGAAAAATAAACTTGCCAAATTACCTAATTTTCATTTTTTTAACTTTATTATGAGAAAGAAAAATACAAACTTCCCCAATACCAAGTCTGGTATGGTATGGACCAAAATAACCCTCTGTTTTGTCGTTCTCTTTGAATGTAGCTAACTTAATTAATAACTATGTAAGAATACTTAGTTGCCAAATTACCTCATCTATATCCTAAGTCTTGTACGTCAGATGGTGAATAATCAAACTACGGTGGTGATGCGTGAATGGGTGGTTTCATTCTCCAGAAATTTGTAAGAGAAAGTTGATTTGAATGGAGATAATCGAGAAAGGGAGCAAAACTGTTTTTTTTTTTTTTTACCAACTCTATTTTCTAGATTCCATTAGATTCCCGGCCGCCCGATGATGCCATGCAACCGTTCCATTAGATTCCCGGGTCGCGTTTTCTTGTCACAAATGATAGTTTCCAAAACCAAAAGATAGACAGATACATCGAGAGAGAGATGGAGGAGTTTGACGGACATGCATGAACCAAAACGAGTAAAAAACAAACAAGAAACGGAGAGAGAAGAATGAAGGATCAATTACCTGATGAAAGAAGTAGTGATGAAGTACTCTGCTTGCTTAGTGCTCCTTTGCCGGCCGGCGCCGAGATCGGAAACTGTATTCTTTTAGCTCGCTGGTTGGGTTTGGTGGAGGGAAAAAAAAGGAAGATGAACAGCCGGGAAATGAAGGTGGGTGGGAAATGAGCTTGAATTAGGTTGGAGCAACCTGAGTTGTTTCGCCCTCGAGGTGGAGGTTTTATAGTTGGTGTGAGATTAGATTAGATAGCTAGGCCAAGAAATTGGACTTTCGGAAAAGGGAATATAGAAAGAAAAGAAAAAAAGAAAGCGGAAGAAACAGGCAGACGGAATCAAAGGCAAAGGTCAATATAAAATACTGGAAGGATGGAGGGAAGGAAGGGGGCGCTGTTGGTGTCACTCACCTACTCCCGCCTACTGATGTTGACCAATTAGCGACCGCCACGTTGGATATATGCCCCTCCACCCTCCCTTTTCCTCCCACCTTCTGTTGCTGTTTAGCATTTGGATCCATCCGCTCTCAGTATAAACTCAATTGATGGGTGGAGAGAGAGACGACTCCACTATTCCCTTCCCTTTTTCCCACCACCTCCCATCACTAACTCGGGAGGTTGGTGAGATGTTGATTGCTTTTTTTTTTCTCCCTCACCTTCTCTTTCTTCTTTCTTAAGGGGAAATTTTTTTTTGGAACACTTTAAAGTTTTAATGTTGGGATCGTGAGGACTTCAACACAGAACTTCACGGTCAAACTAATTATGTGACGTACCGCGTAAACTAACTAGTCTCAATAAGATGAGTTGTTGCGAGAGGTTCATGTATGGATCTTATATAACTTTCTTACTACTAATAATTACCAATGTGTAAAAAATATGTTGACATATAGTTAGGGTGTGTATTAGCAACTCATAAATTTATCATTGTAAAGTTACATTGGAACTTAAACAACAAAAGACCTAGAACCTTAGAGGGAATCCACTTTCTTGGGCATGTTTTTTTTTATCATCGTAGTTTTGGTTTGAGCTCTAATTTCTTGTTTGCTACATTCGCACTCTTTGTTTGGTGTGTTCTGCTTGGACTTTCTGGTTCTATTGGCCGAGTTGTTCTCTCTGCGTAGTTGACAACAACTTGGTTTCATATTTCACAGGCTTTATTCACCAGTTTAAGCTCTTTTCCAACATACTAACAACAATAGTTGCACACTAATTTCAAGGAACCTTGTCTCATTAGGACATATATAATTCATATGTAACTCCATTATATCATACAACATACCAAATCATTTAGATTACTTATCTATAAGTTGAAAAACCTTCAACACACAGTAGCTTACAACTTTAGTTTCTTAACCTTACTACACTAAAACTAATTTTTCACGTATCTACTCAACAAAGTTTCGAATGCATATGCATTATGCTTTTGCAAAGAGTGTGAATCCCAACTGCTGATCGATCAAGCATCAAAGTTTACTCATCTTCGAGAAGTCTGATGCAAAAACCCCTTTCCAACCTGGCAAAAAATAGGGTGTTTGATGAGTCTCAATCTTAGTAAAGCAGAATTATCCATAATCAAGCAAATTCATCAAATATAGGCATTAGTGCATCGGAAAAAATAATGACAATACTCAAGGTCAACAATGTGCAATCAAAACTCAACACCATCAAAACATTGATTTACTTTGAACCAAAAGCGTGAATAATACTATCACAAAATAAGGTATCCATAAAGTGCACAATGTGGCCCAAGTCACGATTCGCGTCTGATCTCATAAAGCTCGGCTTGCTTTGCGTGAGTCAATGAAAAGCGTAAAGACACGAAACGTGGAACTTTGTTGGAACCTTTGCTTGGAACCCACTTTCCACTCCCGAAGAATCATACATTATGCCCACCAAAGGTGAAGCATATGCTTGTGTGATAGGCGATAGTACAAAGCCTTGTGTCAGGATATGCATCACACTTCCCTAAACACATTAAATGCAACCGTAGACGTTGTACGATAAAGAACATTCCTAACTTGCACATTTAATGCAAGTTGCAGGTGTTGTACGGTAAAGAAAATCTATGATCCTTCTGACATGAGCATTAAACATCCCTCTCTACTTCATTTATGTTAACTCAACTACTTATTATTTTCAATATGTAAATCACTCTTTATCCTTCTCTAACTTGGGCGTTGGAGGATGTCCCGCACAACCCATGGGGACACTTTTTGCAGGAACGTCGGTGGCGCCCTTCACTGAGTACCAGCAAGTCTTCAAGTGTAGCCTCTCTAAGCGTCCAGAACATCCTGGGGTAAAACAACTACTGTTTTTCTCATGGAATGTCGAAAGGCTTCTCGCTTCCTCATATAGTATCAAAAGGCTTCTAATCTTTCTTGCAAATATCTCTTTCTTAATCAAAAGTACAGGTCAACAATATCAAATAAATCCAATTCAACTCGATCTATTGAAGGTACAATTCAAGATTTCATGTAATCCTTCAATAATCCACGAAGAACAACATCACATTTCCATTGCATAACAATCACCCCATCAAGGTAAAAACCACAGTTAGACAATCACTATTCAAGTTAGAATCATCTACATATTGTTGACCACGTTCATCATTTAACCAAGCATCACAATGGTAATCCAATCCCACAATCAAACTCAAAATCAAAATCATACATCAACCTTAACATACAAGGATTATCTCTGATTCTACTTACTTTTTCTAGTGGGTATATCAATGTTTGGGTCTTGGTTCCACCAAGACCTCCTTACCCTTAGATTCCCTACAATATATAAAATAATCACCATTCAATGAACAATACAACCCAATTTTCCATAAATGAACCTTATACCCCGTCGATATATATGAACATAACTCACTATAGAATTTATCAATTAGACTAATATGTAGCTCTTCAAAAACTAAGCTTGATATATCATATAAATAACTTTTTTTTTGTTGAATTGGTTCCCTTTTATTGCTAGCAAAACATTATGCAAGATGCGTACTTTAAACCATACAAAGAAGAGGAGTTTAAACACAAGTCCTTGAGGAATATGAGTAAATTCCAGTAAAGCAACATGCTTTAATCAACTTTGCCAATATTACAACTTTCTACCAATTTGCTAGTACTCATTGCAACTAAATCCACTAACCAGTTCGTTTCACTATTTATAAATAATAGATATTGGATCACAAAATCTTCCAATTTTTAGCAAGTCTAGGATGTTCTCTATGAAGCATCCTACATATCCCTATCCATAGGTATGCCACACTCAAGCACTAGAGAAGACCAAGAATTCTACAAGCAACATTATTTTGTTTGTAGAGAACACATGAAGCATGAACTTAGTCAGTCTATGACCTCCAGCAAAATAGAGTCATACAACTAATACATTCCACAAACTTTTTTTGTGTAAGATCATTGGAAAAAAAAAAAAGTGCTCTCTAGCTTCAACACAGGATTCACACAACACGAAAATTTCATCCATAATTTTCTCCCATCTTATAATCTTTCCTCTAGCAACAATACCATCCAACATCACTATCCATGTTATGAAACTTAAGCGAGGTACAACCTTTCCCTCGCACAAGTGATGCCCACTAAAAAATATGTCATTTAGGCCTCAAGGTTTCCCAAACAACAACAAAATTAAAATTTTTCACAGGAATACTATCCCAACATGGAGCTGAACCTTGCACCTTAAAGTGAACTTGATGAATGAGTCGTATTTTGAGTACCATTCTCCGAGCCCAAGAGCAACTAGGACTGGAATTGACATTCCACATGCTACCATTCTTCACCTTGTATTTCAACATCCAAGCAATCCATAGGGGAAGTAAGTACTAAGTATCTCACTCACAATGTCCTTGACGAAATCCAAACATTTTCCATGCATTATTTTTATGAAGCAGAGATAACCCATCCAAAGCTATAATAAACATATATGGACCACTTATAATTTCATGTGAGAACCTTTTCAACCTAATAAACATATATGTCTGAGATCATTTAAAGAACAAGCAAATGAAATTTTAGAGCAAAGAGATACACATGTAGCATTTACACTACCCGAAAGTCGCTCTGAAGTGACAAAATCAAGAACACCACCCTTATCGCAACATCATTTTCAAAGTTACAGTGGAAAAAAATTGTTCATTCTATTCGATATCTCTATGGGGTAATGAAGAATAAAAAATGTTTAAATGAAACAAAAAATTCTGTTTATTAAGTTTATTAAAAATTAATACTAATGCAATTATTTTCCAAACTTTCTTTTTAAACCGCACTGAGAACCCATAAGGACCTAGAGCTCTATGAGGATTCTTATGAAGTACAATATTCTTAATTTTAGTCGAAGTGACAAACACAAAGCATACTTTTTGCATTATCATCCGACCTATTTGTAACAGACACTCTAATGCTAGACGACAAGACTTCACTGTTGTGTCCACGTGAACAAAGAATTCTAAATATTTAAAGGCCTTAGAGAGGGATCTTTTGTAGAGGCTTTGAAGCTACAATGATACCACAATGATATGTGAAGTTGGTATTAATAATCTCAATTCTACAATTATGAGATGTATCAAAGCACTGCTCATTCAGTTAGACCCTATTTAATTTCTTTGCTATCAAATTCCTCTCTTGGTTGTTTGTCCAAGTAAAGAATGGGCATATTTAATGATGATAAAACACTTCCATACTAGCCACTCAACTACTAAAATCAGTCATACAACTCATAAAATCCCTCAGGTTTGAGATCCTCATTGGAAATAATAACTACCATCAATCAATCACGGGAAACTACTTACCTTCACTCTAGCCATTTCCTGGTATATAGCTCTTCTCTCTATCTCTTCATTTGAGCCATAAACAGTCGTAACTGAAAAAATTCCACCCTCTTGTGATCACACTAGACAATAGACAAACATCTTACTACGATCAATTATCCTTAAGTCAAGTAGTCAACAACAATAGGTTAATAATAAACATACTCTAAGCCCTCCACCACCTCTTCTGATTTAACCTATCAAACTCATGTTTCCAATACATCTACCACCTATATGGTGTAGTTACTAAGGAATGAAAGAAAGTTCTTTCTCTTAGAGAGTTTATTACTCTAACATTCCAAAGCAGAATGATCATGATGGATTAGAGGAGAACACTCTTATGACTTGATTGAGGAGACTATACCGTAGGTCCAACACCATTAACCACTAGATGAAATTCATCTTCAGATGGAAGAAAAATGATTTAACCTCACCAACTAGGAAACTAATGAAATGACTGCACAAGATTGATTCTTTTCAATAGAGTAGATGACTCGCCCTTGTTCTCAGCGGAACCAATACCAACAAATATTTGATCTAATCATTAAGCCAGATTCCTCTACTGCTTCCCTTGCAACTTCAAATGGGGATTAAGATTCCATAATTAATTCATTATCCTTATCAATCTTCTCATTATCCTTTACATCAAGGTTCTCAACTTCACATCCTTCGTCACTGGCATCTTTGCAGATCCATACCTGTATCCCTTGCCTACTTTCACAACCACAATCTAATCCAAATGAGAAACATATTTTGCAAACTGGTGGTAGGTGAAAATAAGACACCCTTATGTGAATGAAGGATTCCTCATCCGTTCAAAGCACAACATGATCAGAAAACTCCCAATCTGCACTCAGTTCAACCAAAATGTTAGCATATCTTAACTTGCTACCCATTCTGATAAGTGGTAACTAATATATACCCAAAGGAATTCTAACAGCTTGCCATACGACTCTCAAGTGGAACATTTTATAGCGTTACCCAGATTGTAAGAGCATTTCTAACTTTGGAAGTGTGTTCTATGCATTATTATTAATGCAAGTTTCATGTATAAATTGAATTTTGGTAATAGTGCTCTGTTTATCATGCTTCAGTTTTAAGTTTTAGACATCCTTCACGGACTCCATAAATGATCACATTTCACATAAATATGATAATTTATATGAGTAACAAATCTATAAAAGGAAGTGCTCCCAAAATTCACTTTCTCAACCTAGGGGTCCCAATTTGAACCCTTCACCATCACCTTTTTGGTTCTCGTACAAGTGATGATTTGTGGCAATTCCTTTGTCTCAGATTCGTCTCTTGCAGATTATGGTATTATTATTGCTAATTATCATGGTCAATTGTACAACGTCAAGGCTTATACCTTCCTTTGTCCCTACCATATTCAAGCGAAAGCCTATGGTCTATTCAATGTCATCTTGACTGCAACACATGATCCGGTGCCTACCTGCATCTGTACAGATTGCCAGGTTATGTCCTTTGCAATGTAAAAATATCTTATCCAATGTGTGTGGTAGTGTCGAGCAATGATCGCTCATATGCTTTCGCGCATCCATTCAGCACTGTGGATCAAAGTCAAGTTTGTCTCTTGACAATTGAGTTCCATTGAGGATTTGGTTGCTTGTCAGGCTAGGATTAACATATCACCGCTTGATTGAATTTTTAATATGTAACATCATTGCTCCACTTCTGCAACGTGACTGGCTTCCCTGTTTGGAGATGGATTAAGCTGAACCACATTTGTCAACAACAAAAACACATCCGCAAATAGTAGGTATAAGTAAGAGGTTGCTATTTTATTTTTCATGTTCTATCTATTAACCCAATATAATATTTTTTTTTCTTTCATGTTCCTTCCACTTTTAACCCAATATTGTATTTTTTCATGTTATATAGTATTCTGACTTGCTGTCATAAATCGTTGACGCATATATTCATTATTTTTATTATAATTTGTAATATGTGATTATTACACCATCTTAGTTAGGGATGACAATCAAACCCATGGCCGCGAGTATCCGCCACCTCCGACCCAGTCAACACGGGGAATCCTCGCATTGACCGTGTATGGATAAAATCCGCAAAGAACTTGATGGGTATGAGGCGGGTATGGTTTTAGCGTCGCTCGCCCCATACCCATTCCCAACCCCCCCCCCCCCCCCCACCCCACCCCAACCCAACAAGGTATTTTGCTATACGTAAAAAGCTATAATATATTTTTATAAATTATTATTAGCATGAAGGTAATAGAATAAATAAACATTATTAAAATGTAATTATATTTACCCTTGAAATTTTTACCCTCTCAGTCGGCTATAGTTTACTTTCTCAATTCCTCATTGTCGCCGCCTTTCCTCTCTTGATTCTTGAATCATCTTGGAGATGACCACCTTACCAAAATTGTTGATGAGATAGAAATAGGTCATTGCATATCATTTTTTACATTTGAATTATTTTGATGCATATTCGTTTAACTTAGCGTGTTTGAATAATTGGTAGTCTAGTAGACTTTAATCTTTTATAAGCAAAAGAGGTTTTTGTCTAGTTGACAAGTTTATGTTAGCTATTTACTATATAGATGTGTTAGATTCAAAGATGAATGATTTGATATAGTATTATATTTTTATTTTATTGATGAATTATTATTTTAGGGTTGAATTTTTTTCCTATTCAAAAATACTATAATTATGTTGATTTCCACTATTTATAATGTATATTTTTTGTTATAATTGAAGACATACATGTTGAACTTTAGATATAATAATATTGCAACTCGAATAAACTACATTCTTCAAGGTACATTTTCCTGATTGGTTCTCCTATCACATTTCTAAACCATACCTGCATGTCACATTTGGGGTAGCCTATTCTTACTTTGGAGGGCTCGAAATGATGACATCTTATGAAGGGTGGTAGACGCCCACATTAAGATAAGCTAAAAGAACCATAATATCAATAGACATCTTTGTCGCTGTAAGGAAACTAACACTACGGACTGTGTGGCGCGTCAAGACATGGATGTGGGATGGATATCAACACCATTGGAGTGGGTCACAATGAATTTAGGTGGAGCATACATACCATCTTTTTTTGGAAGACAAGAGCAAGAGGAAGAGTGCGAGATTGGTAGAGTCACTTCTTGATGACCTACACATCCATGCGAGAAGATGCTCTATCACTCGTGTTAAAATTTGAAGGCCCATTGAGAGGCTCTAGCTGGCCTCACAGCTTGGAGATCTAATGCAAACATTACAAATGGAATCAACGACAATAATATCCATACTGGTAATGAGTGAATCGCCCACACATCAGCAAGTCAGCTTAGTATGGTAGTTTCACAATCTCATGCAAAGGAATTGGATAGTTAGCATCTCTCATACATATAGAGAAGGAAATTTATTAGCCGACTATTTGGCTCATAGTGGCCTTTTCTTCCCCCTTTGGTTCTCATTTCATTCCTACAGACCCAAAGATTCCTCAATGGGTAATATATGATTCTGTGAGGTTTCTATTTATAAACCCTAAATGGTGTTGCAATGTAGAAAAATATGATCGATGAACTCCTCCTCGCTATCACTAATTGGGCCACTGAAACCCTCTTCTCTTCAGGTTATCAATGATTGCAATATTGTTCACGTGAAATTCGTTGGTACCACTCGAATCCAAATCTTAAAAGAAGGAAAGCCATCCAAACCCAAGAAGGAAAGTCAATGTTTTAAATCAATGACTTAAATAAGTCATTGATTTAAAATAAGTCATTGATTTAAAACATTGACTTTCCTTCTTGGGTTTGGATGGCTTTCCTTCTTTTAAGATTTGGATTCGGGTGGTACCAACGAATTTCACGTGAACAATATTGCAATCATTGATAACCTGAAGAGAAGAGGGTTTCAGTGGCCCAATTAGTGATAGCGAGGAGGAGTTCATCGATCATATTTTTCTACATTGCAACACCATTTAGGGTTTATGTCTTAGGTTCTTTTCTATTCTTTCTTTGTCGGCCCATTCCCAAGCTTTTGGAGATGTGTGTGTGATCTTGAGAGGGATCGAGTAGGTGACATCTGGTGCGCCCCTTTCTTGGACTTGTTATGCATTCTTTGATTTGGTATATATAGACTAAGCAAAATAATAATATCATTGGCTAAAAATCGAACGTGGGAAATCTGAGGTTACTCTTTTGTACAAGTTTGTTAATCTAATTGGGGAATGGGGTAGATCTTTTGATAGATGCATGTAAAAGGTAGAGAGTATAATGAATGGATTAGGAGATTAACCATGCAGGAGAGTTGAGGTTTGGGGTCAAGAACTTTATCCTTAGTTTGTACCTCGAATTTTGTTTTGGTATATATCAGTTGATTGCATCGAGTAAGGATGCTCTTCATACAAGGATCCATGTTTCTTATATGACGTTCTTGACATTTTTCACTTTTATTTTTTTTATGATGAATCATTTATGAACCCTATCATTTTAATATGTACACGTATAATTCCTAATAAAAAAAGAGTGTTAGCGTGTTGAGGTCCCTTGTCAAATTTGGAGTGGTGCAAATGTTATGTTTGTTCCTTGAGAAAGGTCATGATCATTTGGAGTGAACAAAACAAACCGAAATCAGATCCAACCGTCTAACCCAACTTAAATCGAACCACCCCCTGATATCCGTGAAAATTCAATTTTATGGGTGGGGTGTGAGTGTGATTTTCAACCTTTGAAAAACGAAGCCTTGTGATTGGATATGGATTTGAATGATTACAACTAGAGAATACCTAGATGGACTCGTGATACTATATTGTGCATAAAAATATTATATATTTAATATATTCCTTCAAATACATATCATATAATTTAATGGTTATTCAAGTAATTTGTTTACATAGTTAGTGACTTAGTGTTTACAAATTGTGAAGATTTAATTATGAAAGTTTTTATTAAACACATATATACATTTTTTGCACCTTTTTATATTTAATACAATGTATTAATTGTTAGAGAGTGGTATAAGATCCAACATAACCTTCTCCCAACAACTTGAGTTATTGGGACCAACTGGTTTATGACATGGTATCAAAGCTGAGCTCTGATCTCCTTAATCCCTAAAATTTCTACCTGTCTATCAATCTTTCTTCCTCTATCTTCCTTATTTCTACCCACGGCTACACCTTTTTTCTTTCTTTTCTTCCTCTCTACAATGGCGACCAATTCTAGTGAGTCTGTTCTTAATTTGGATGATTCCAATTCGATCATCATGTTGAATTTGGCGTCTCAATTGCCCATCAAGCTCACCGGTGAAAACTTCCCGACCTGGCGTGCTCAAGTGATGACTCTTCTCCGTGGGACGGATCTCTTTAAATTCTTGGATGGTACTCACCCAAGACCTGCCGCCACAGTCCCGACTGCTAATCGAACTCATTGGTACAGGCAAGACAACTCATTCTTCACTCTATTATGGCCTCCATGTCTCCGGCTGTCTCTCCCTACGTATCTGCTGTCGAATCCTCTCATGAAGCCTGGACCAGTCTTGACAGGATGCTTGCAAGTCAATCCCGCCAACGTGTGCTGAATCTCAAAGAGAAACTCGCTCACGAGCGTCAAAGGGCTTGACTAGTCTCTGTTTACCTTCAGGCCATGCGTACCACTGCTGTTGAACTGGCCCTTGTCAATAACCCCACAACCAATGAAGATTTTATTCTTCATGTTCTTCACGGTCTTCGTGAAGAATTTGGGCAAATTTCGGCTGTGATTCGTGCTCGGGATACAACAATTGCACAAGAGGATCTTCATGATCGTCTTGTTGAATATGAGGCAGACTTAGCTGCCATTCGTGTTACCTCTGTCGCTCGAACTACAACCTTATTTTCTCAATGTGGCCGAGGTAATTAGTCTACCCGCAACTATGATAGCCCTTGTCGAGCATCATCACCAGGTTTTGTCTATATTTCCAACATCATCAGGCGAATCGTGATTTCATCCCTCAACAGGTCCGTCGTTCCTGTCCTTCACATGGTCCTTCTGGTCCAACGGCTGGTTCCTACTCTTCTTCACTGCTTGGCTGCCCATAGGTTATGTGTCAATTCTGTGATAAAGCAGGATACACATCTAAAGACTGTTATCGTATACGTGGTCATCCTCAGGCCTATCATACGGCTACGACCTCCTCCTCCAATGCTGGTTGGCTTGTTGATTCGGCAGCCACAAGTCACATGACCCCTGATCTCGGCAGTCTATCTCTCTACACGGATTATAATGGTCCGGATGAGGTCCCCATCGACGATGGGTCATGTTTGCTCATTTCTCACATCAGACACTCATCTTTACCCAAACATGCCGCCAGTTTATCTCTTAAGGATGTTCTTTGTGTTCCTGTACTCAAACGTCGCCTAATGTCTGTAGCTCAACTTTGTAAGACTAACCCGGTTTCAGTGGAATTGTTTTCTGATTTTTTTGTTGTGAAGGATCTAGTCACGGGGGTGCACCTCCTACACGTTCGGAATGAAGGTGACATTTATGAGCTACCACCGGAGCCCCAACCAGTTTAGCTATCCTTGACTGTAATGCGGACCTCATCGATGGTGTGGCATAATCGTCTCGGCCATCCACATCCCAAGCTACTATCTTGTGTGATTCGTACTCACTCTCTTCCTGTTATTTCCATGTCCTCCTCTTATTAGCGTGAATCATGTTCCCTTCATAAAAGTCATAAACAACCTTTTTCGGTTTCTAGCTTATCCAATTCTTGTCCCTTTGATTGGGTCGCAATCACTACTCCTCCTGTTCGCCGTCTTGTCTTGCCTCCCGCTTCGCGCCTCAGTCTGTTGTCTACTGCGACACCAGCTTATGAACGTCCCTCGTCGGCTGTACCTCCTGCATCTCCCGCGGCTACATCTTCCACACAAGGTCAGCTACCTCCCCCTCCTCTAGTGAAACAATCTCTTCGGCCTCTAACTATGACCACCAGCAGCCAACAAGACATCTTTCGCCCAAGAAGCAGTTTCTTATGTAGGTTGGCTCCATTGAGACTGTACCTACTACTGTCAAGCAAGTACTTGCCGATCCTCGCTGGAATGCCGCCTTGCGGGCCGAATACCAAGCTCTTCTTTCTAATCAGACTTGGTCTCTTGTGCCCCGCCCTGCATCAACACATCGTTGGTTTTCGTTGGATTTTTCGCATCAAATACCTTCAAGATGGTTCTATCGACCAGTTCAAATCCTGCCTTGTCACTAAGGGCTTCACCCAACGCACAGGCATTGACTTCCATGAACCTACAACTCCGTCCTCAAGCCCGTCACCATTCGCGCTGTATTCAACATTGCCCTATCTCAGCGGTGGCCTATCTTTCAGTTTGAGATAAACAATGCTTTTCTGTAAGGTTCTTTACAGGAGACGATCTACATGACTCAGCCCCCTGGCTTTCTCGATGATCAGTTCCCCAATCATGTCTGCCGTCTCTCACGGCCCATCTACGACCTCCTCCAGGCTCCACAATCTTGGTACATGGCTCTCTCCCAGTTCCTTGTGCAAGAGGGGTTTGTCAAGACCCAGTTCGATGCCTCTCTGTTCGTCTATCACAAAGGCTCCGTCACCCTCTACTTCCTTGTTTATGTTGGTGATCTTCTCTTGACTGATAATGACGCCACCTTCCTAGTGCAATTTCAAGCTCGCGTGGATGCTCTCTTCTCTCTCAAAAGTCTTGGTCATGTCAACTACTTCCTGGGCATCGAGGTTTTACCCACCCCTACTGGCTTGCGCCTCTCTCAACACAAGTACATCGTCGATCTCCTTGCTCGGTTTGGCATGTCTGGTGCTCAGCCTGTTCCAACTCCTCTCTCCTCCACTGCCAAGCTTATTCTCCATGATGGCTCCCCGCCGGCAGATGCCACTCTATATAAACAGGTCCTAGGCTCCCTCCAGTACTTGTTATGCACTCGTCTAGATATTGTGTTTGCAGTCAATAAGTTGTCTCACTTTATGCACTCGCTGACTCAGCTACATTGGTAGCATGCCAAAAGCCTACTCCGTTACCTAAAGGGCACCTCCTCCCTTGGCCTTTATCTGTGTGCTATCATGACTCCGTCCTTGGTGGCTTTTGCATACTATGATTGGGCCAGTGATCTCGATGATCGCACATCCACTAAGGGATTTCTTATATACTACGACGACTATCTCATCTCATGCTAATGCTACATCCGAACTCTCCAATGCTACATCCGAACTTTGACCGGTGTAGAACCTGCTTCTTGAACTACGTCAATCACTTCATCTGCGCGGACTCTCCACCGTGACAATCTTGGTGCTGTCAACTTCTCTGCCAATCCGGTCTTCCATTCCCCCATGAAATATCTGGCACTTGACTACCACTTCGTTCGAGAGCTTGTTAAAAAACATCTGCTTCTAGTTCGCCATATCCCGACAGCTCATCAATTGGCCAACGCCTTGACCAAGCCTCTCCTGATTCCGCTATTTCAGCTTCTTCGTTCCAAGATTGGTGTTGC